TTGTAGTCAGGTGATGAGGTATGAGTTTCTGGAGTTTACAGATTTATTCATTTCATTAAAGAAATTTACAGAGCTCGGGGTGGGGAAGGAAGAGGGCACTGGAGCGGAGGCCGGCAGGGGAGGAGACAGGAAGGGTCTGTGTGGGGAGGGACAGTTGCACAGTCTGGGTGGGTGGAACTGAGGTCAGATCTGGAGCAGCAGAATGAGGAGAGACGGGGGGGGGGAACCGATTTTACATCATTTGCAAGTGACATGACTTGAATAAATATAAATACAAACAGATTTTTAAAAAATGCTCAACTTTGTTCACCGAATCACAGAAATACAAATTAAAAAAGCAGGATGCATGTTTTAAAATGTATTTTTCTTTACTCACCAGTTTGGCAAAGATTTAAAAGGGTGCTAAAGCTGATGAGAATGTGGGAAACCGCGCCATCGCAGACCCTGGATTGGAAAGTAAACTAGTTCTGCCATCTGGCCACGTGCATCAGTTCTGAATGTTCACACCCTTTCGCCCAGAGAGTCTACCCTCGGGCGTTTATTAAGGAAGTGATAGTACAAAGTGCACACACACACACACATGCACCCTCTGCACACAGGGGCGTTGCTTGCAGCATTGTTTATTACAGTGAAAAATTGGAGGCAATCTAACGTCCGCTGAAAGCAGACCGGTTAAATGAGTTCTGGTACATTCAATGAAATACTATGCAGCCTTTAAAAAGACTAAGGTATATCTTTATGCATTCAAATTAAAAAATTCAAGTTAACAGTGGTTGTCCCTGGGTCAGAGGAGGGATACTTTTGCTTAAATATTTTACAATAATGTACGACAAGAATACTATGGTTACTTCTATATTTGAAAAAAAAAAAGACATCTGCAAGGCACTGACAGGACTTTGGTGACCGAACGTGGGAGCGAGACTAGGGCACAGCTGACGGTCTCCGGCTGGAGTGTCTCAGCAGACGGCAGCCATACGCGGGAGAGGACGTTGCTGGGGGGAGGCTGAGCTTGGTTTTGGAGGTGCTACCCCTTGATGGAAATGTTGGGGGTCCCTGGACACCATGGTGGGGGCTCTGTGTGGCTGGCAGACATGAGGGGATTGGGGCTCTTGGAGTAGGAAGTACTGACAGAAAACACTTGGTACTGAGGAGAAATCTCGTAACACAGCCCAAGCCCCGCAGACTCTGTACACTGAGGGGACACTGAGAGATGATGGTGTAGCAGCTCAAGGGCGGGGGACATGAGTCTGTGGGAGTAGAGCCAGGACTGGCGGGGACTGAGCGTCCCACCTGAATGGGGCATGGCGTGGCTGCTCACGCCTGTCCTCTAGCTGAGGGGCGGTCACCAATCTCGGACCACCTGGCTCCTAGCTGCATTTGCAATAACTCCTTTATTTTCCCCTCCTGTAGCCGTGCCCAGTGAAGGAAGACGTCACACTGATAAGAGAGACACAGCCACTGCCACCCAGGCCCCACATCTGAGTGCATCTAACCACCCGGAGCCTAAAGAAGAGACTCCAGCACCGGAACCAGGTAACCGCTTCTGGTTACCGAGTTCCCGCTCTTACCAAGCAGCTAAGTATGGAAAGCCACCCTTAGCACAGGGCACCTGAGACCTTTCCACGAGGGACAGCATGAAACGTGGAGAAGGGGGTGGCAGTAGGACAGGGTGAGGGTCCTAGAGTTTGCTCCCTGCCTGCAGTGGAAGCCTGGGGAGCGAAGTTCCTCACCTCGGAATCTCCTATTTCTCACCTACAAAAGGAGTAGGTGGTGACAGTAAAAACTGCCCAGCCGGATCACAGGGCTATTGCAAACACTCAGTGAGATCATCATGCAAAGGTACTCTGTAAACCATAAGATGCTGTACAAATATAAAGAGGTCCTATTATGAGGCTGCAGTTCCTGTGATGGTTATAGTGGCTCACGGCCGAAGGCTGAGCGCTTGTTTATAGACTCAGAGAACTTAGTTTCCTGGGGCAGAGGGGCCTTTACAAACATGGCCCAGGGAGAGAGGACTCTTTGCTTTCGGCCACTGGTTGGTTGATCCTCACTGTGGCCGAGCGTCCTCCTGTTCAGTAGTTTTTTCCTTTTTGAAACCCTAAATCACCACACACCATCTGTGGTGTCCAATGCACACTCCCGACTGCTAAGAACTTTTAAGTTTTCAAATGGCGATCGGGTGATTTTCCTCAAACCAGGCAGCATTTTGTACTTCAGGGCAAGACTTTGGAATCCTGAAAGCAGATTTTATCATCCCAGCTCTGATGGACCCAGAAGATATGAAAGACCAATTTTTGAGTGAGGTGAGACGTCTGCCCACTTCTAATTTTGACCAGATGACTTGACAATGCAAGACAACGCTGTAAAAGCCAATATGGTCAGAGGAAGAGCTTTGGGAAATTAGCTCATCTGTTCCTGCTGCCATCACTTTGGCTCGTGGTGACACCTTGGTTCCTGTGCCGAGATCTTTGCAGATCCTTTTCTTACTCTCTTCTTCAACATTTTTCCTGAGTTCCATTTTTTTTTTTTCGTTCCTGCTGCCATCACTTTGGCTCATGGTGACACCTTGGTTCCTGTGCCGAGATCTTTTCAGATCCTTTACTTACTCTCTTAACATTTTTCCTGAGTTCCATTTTTTTTTTTTCTTAAATCAAGACAGTATAGTCCGAAGGACCTCAGTTTGGGTCTTGGCTTTCCACTTAATACTTGTGACCTTGGGCAAGTAACTTAATTTTTCTGAGCCTGTTTCCTCATGAATTAGGAACAACAGTACCTAACTCATATGGTTGGTATTATGATTAAATGAAATGTTCCATATAAAGTGCTAAGCAAATCGGCACATAGTAAATAGCTAATGTTATTATTATCAACATTATTATTGTTCTAAATATACATCTGTTCCATCTTTTTTTTTTTTCTTGTTCTTTTAAAGTGTTGTGAGATGGGAGGATTGAAGAACTGTTCCTAAATATTGTGACAAAAGCCTCAAGCTGATTTTCTAACATGGCCTAAGGGTACATGTTTTAGTTCTCTCAGATAATGATAAGGTGTCAGAGCTGGAGAGTTCCTATGGCTCATCTGGCCCAAATCACAATTTTACAGACGAGGAAACAGATTTGCATTCATCTGGTAGCTTATTGCAATTTACTCAGAGGTCAAAGACACAGCTCCTAGGCGATTTCTTCTAACTTCTCACAAACTCGGATTTCTAAAAGAATGGTATTGTGTGTGTGTGTACGTGTGTGTGCACGCACACACACGTACACACCTACGGGGGAGTGGGGAAGGGAGTGGAGCATTTTGCTACTGAAGAACAGGTGCAAATGATGCAGTTGAGCACCTGATAAATTTTTTTAGTAAAAGTTCAAGTAATTAAAAAAAAAAGTTCATGTGCTAAGACTGCAGTGGTGACTATCAGGTCTACAAAAGTCAAGAACTTTTTTTGGGGGGTGAGGAGATCAAATCAGATGCCATCTACCTTTTGTTTTAAATTAAAGCTAATAATGGGAAAAGTGGGGTCAAAATGGGGAAGTCCATCTTCTAGTCACCCTTGTGGGAAGTATCTATCCCATATTCATGGACAGATTAAAAGGACAGAAGTGGTGGGGACAAGGTGTATGTGAGGAAAGGCAGAGGACAGATCATCAGTCTCATTTAAAATTCCAAACAGAAGGCAGAGAAACATCTGAAGCCAACTTCTCGCGGTTCCAAGGACAGAGACATCCTCACTGATGATCACACACAGTGCTCTGAGCTACATATAGACTAGTGGCTGTCAATTCTGGCTGAAGTTAGAATCCCCGAGAAGTTAAAAAAAAGCCTGACCCCTAATCCTTACAGAGATTCCGTTGCACCGTTCAGTGGTGGCCCCCAAGGGCACCCCTTCTCTCTCTGTCAAGTTCTGCAGTGATTCTGATGAATAGTCGGGATTGAGAAGCACCAATTAAGTCATCTGTTTCAGTCTCCTCTGTCATCAAACTTTCTTTTTTGGCTGGGGAGATGTGATGGTGGCGCTTATCAAAATTGATGTATGTACCTTCCCACTGGTGAAGGTGCTGATGACGAAAGGCAGGCAGCGGGAGGGAGGCTGAGGACAACACAGATGGTTGCACGTAAAGGGCATGTGAGTGGACAGTTCTGGGCCGAGAGGATGAGGTCACAAGATAGTGTCAACAGTTTCTCTCTTTTTGATGTTTCAGATCCAAGAAGTCTTAAAGCTAACGTTAGGTGGTAAGCAGTTCAGGCTGAAATGGGTCGGCTTCGAAGTAAACAAAAAATAGCACGCTCTACTGATCTGGAGTCTCCTTCTCATACAAGCTTCTCTGGATATTCGGTGAATCCAGGTTTTTAAAAAAAAAATTTTTTTTTTTTAGTTTTTTAATTCCTTGTAGATCAGAATTAGAAATAACTTCAGATACGTGAAGAGGCTAACTGGTAGAATTTCAGACCTACACCCAGCACAAAAGAAAACTCCATATCCCCGGAGTTTATGGAATGAAACAGGTAAGGAGGAGAAGATGGAGGTGACTGGGAACAGTAACCCTGAGAATGACAAGCAAACAGGAACAACAACAACAAAACCCCGTGAAGCAATAAAAATCCTGGAACAAACCCCATGAATCTTGCTGGGGGATTAAGAGAGGATGGCAGCGGTCTGGGAAGCTAAGTGGGGTCATACTTCCAAGGAAAGTGGACACGTTCTTTACCAGCGACAAGCTAAGAGATTTCAAATTCTCCAGAACGAGGAGCTCTCCAAGGATGCCATCACATTACGACACGTGTGACCGCCAGCTACTTGCCCTACAGCTAAATATTTCTTACCAGTAAGTTGGGGAATTCTAAGACATTGTTCTTAATATTAAAATACACCTTCGAAATAATGTTCCTGCATAGGTTTTCTTTCTGTTTTTTTTTTTTTTTTTGAGTCCAAGTGTCCTAATCACCCAGATAAATGCTAAAAGAGGGTAATATGTCAAATACAGTAGCAACTTTAGTCTGAAAAATGTTTAAAGTTAAAGTTTATTTGTATTCTTTGTAGGATTATCAATAAAAGACCTCAAACGTTATCTATATCTGTACATGTACAAGAACCATCAAAAATTATTCACAGAACAAAAATAAATCTTCTTTAGAACAAACCCAGGTAATGAAATGCAGATATGGATCTCACGTATGGAACAATCTAAGTGCTACTAGCACAAAAATATGGCTTTAAAAATAAAATAAAATCTTGGGTTTTGTTTTTCTAAGGTGTACTTCTCTTTCTTGAAATAAAAAATAAATTATTTAGAGCTATCATTGTAAAATAGTCGTGTGTATTAACACACTTTTATTAAGGCCCTGGAGATGAAAAACGAAAGCAAATTTAGAAGGTAAAATCCTCACAGGTGTGATTCAGGTTAATGTGCAGCTATCTGCTTGAGTTAATTTTAGTGTAACTAGGAAATGTCTAAGCACCATTCAAAATTTAACCTTTACTATTTATTTCAACTTTTCTGCAGGATAGTGGTCACTGAATCAATTTCGGTGAACTGAGAACTGAAATTTTCCCTTGGGAGTGTAAAACGACATAAATATGATATCTTTACATAAATATTTGTACTCCCACACAGATGAGAGAGGTCCCTAAAACACAGCTTTTGTGGAAATCTCTTTACGACAACAGATAAATCTGGTTTTCAGTCCGAAACTAAAATATTTCCTAGAGAAAAATGAAAAACGAGGGCATTCGAATGAAAAATAACAACTGAGTAGGAAATTAAAATGCATGCTGAAATCTGGGCAAAAACTACCATTTTACTTTCCTTGGGTGGCTTACTGCGTTTGCTAAGTCCTGCTGCGTGGGGTACTCAGTCGCCTGAGGATTAACTGATCAGGAACCAAAACTACTTTCTGGATCCTAATATCAGATTCAATTTCCTTTCTATGACTCCCCAAGGTATCACTAATGATATCCAAGGGTCTTGAGATAATGTCAAACCAAATCAATTGCAAGTTACTTTAACTTATATATACATATAACACATATGGTACACTTTAAAGAAAAGAGAACCACTGTCATAAAATCTAACAAATGAGAGCATAAAATCTGAAACACCCAAGAAAGTTTGGGAATCACTGCTCTATAAGATAGATCAACATTCAGAAAAAGGAGACCCTAGGAACTGTGTTTTGTGCGGGTGTGGACATGTTGTCTACAGAAACTGCCTCTCCATACAGCTCTGTATTTTAAGAGCTCCCGGCAAAGGCTATGAATCCCCGTTGCCTTGAACTTTCCGACTGCTGAGGGGGCTGCTGGCCGTGAGTTCCCTTTTGGATCACGTTATCTTCCTCAGGTTCTTTCCCGCCTCATAAGATATTTATTCCACCTCATGCAAATTTCATCACTTTTGTCTTTCCTAAACTCTAGAGTTTTGGAACTGGGTCATGACGACAAGAGAATGCTTCTAGAACTAATAACAGTCACTCAAACACAAAAAGAGAGTCTATTAAAAATTCAACACGCCAATGTAACTTCTTTTAAAAAAACTAGTAAAATAGGTCCTTTCAATCGATGTATTGATAAAAACAAAGTATCCCAAATTCTTGGCCCCCAGGAAGGGGTGGGAAAGTAACTATTCACTGCTAGGGCAAGCGGGAGATGTCACTACCAGACTCGGGAAAGGTTAAGGAGGAGGTCGAGGAAAGCCCTTTTAGCTTTCCACAGTCCGCAGAGAAGGCGGCCTCCAAAGGCGGCTGAAGATGCTGTGGAGCTGTGGCCTGGGCGCGGGGGCTGCAGACTCAGGCCCAGTGACAAGGCTAGCCTGTGTCAGCCTGGGGCTCGGAGGATCCTGCAGAGGGTTCCTTCCCCGAGTTCAGGCCCACGACCAGCCTGCACAGGACTCCACACTGGAGATGACCAGAACTAGACGTGGATGGAAAGCAAGAGAAACACCAGAGCAGATGCACTCGATGGCAATCGTCTCGTTCTGGGACTTCCATGTTAAGAACTGTTCCCAACTAGGTGGCCCTCTGAGGACAGCGTGAGAGTCATAAACAGACCCATAAACAAAGGTCATAGGCACAGGAGAGGTGAAAAGCTTTACTTAAGTCAAGCTACCTCTCCCGGACACACGACAGTCACAGACAGAAATGCTACTTTTTCTCGCGCTGTTCGACACCATCGCAGGTAAAGGTGGAAGCGGACCACGGAAAGCTCGTCTGACCACCTCGGCACCAAGTGCAAAACGCGCAAAGCCGCAGCAGCGTGATCACCTCATCCCCACATTCCCCTCACCAAAGACCGCCCTAGGTGACAGCCTGGGACACAGTACTGCTCCAGTGTCCATTCCAGTGACCTAGTTACATATAACCTCCCGTCGGTCAGGCTCGAATTGCAGAGACTCAGGGAACGTGATGACCTGATGGAAATGTAACTCCCTCTGCTGCTTCAGCCCAGGATGCTTATTGCTCCAGTGATACCAAAGGGGAACATGAAGCTTTTTCCTAAATCTTACCGACATTGTCCTTGATAATGGCCGAGTCTGCTCGTCAGCTAGACGAGCACTTAGCAAGCAAGCACTTCTCCTGAAGTCTAAATTCTACTTGGCCCGGGTCTATGCCGCGCCCCACAATGTGGTGACGCGTCGGGTGACATGTCGGCAGCCATCTTAATTCACCCGTTTCTTCGACCATGTCCTTCCTCCCAGCAGAAGTCTGTACCTATTTGGGCTGAAGAAAAGCCAATTAAGGAATACCTCCATAAAAATTATCAGCTGTTGCTGCCTTTTTACACACACACACACAACACACACACACACACACACACACACACACACACACAATAAAACCTCAGAAAAATATTTGGATAGAAATAGGCTCAAAGGATAATCTAAAAGTTAATCTGGCAATAACTCTGAACTTTCAGCTTCTCACTTTATAATTTTTCTTTTACTCTCTCCTCTTCATTCAAGATACCCTGATACAGAGGGCTGCACAGTCTAGCCAAACATTTGGGGGCATTTCATCTTCCAAAGTAGGCAGCTCTACGGCGCTCCCACACGCCAACGAGATACACTGCATCCATCAAAAACGTGATGTTTTGTCTCCCCGACGCCCAGTACAGGTGAGCTGACGAGCCCTCTGTAATCCACGACCAACACCTGAGCTCTTCTAATCTAAACCGCAGGGCAAGCCGCCACCCACGTTACCTACTTAACACCACTGGGACTGACAATTCTCTTCCATGTTCTCTGCAGCACAACGGATGGATAAGACCTGGCTAGACCGGAGACAAGAGCAGATCTACGTTTGCATTTTCCCCTCCCACTACCTCAGAATTGGTCATTTTTTTTCTATTAAAGTAAGTGATTTTGACCACAGTGTGCCCTCAGCTTGGAGGAGAGGGATAGAATTTGTAAAATAACTACTGAGGGTCAAGAAAATACACAAGTGCTAAAACACGTGGGCATGAAGGCTGCGGCTCGGCTAAGCAACATGAGCAGGTCCTGCTTTACATCTCTGACCGGCAGAAACGGGAGGGTTACGAAGGGAAATGTTTTAAAAGGTCACGGATGGGGGAGCCACAGTGAGGTTGCTGAGACGCAGGGTCCAACACAAAGACCCATCTGAGAGAGGAGAGCGCCCCAGAGGCCGGAATGCGAGCTGGGGTGCGGGGAAATGGGGTGCTTGGTGCCCCTGTCGGGGCTTTGCTCAAGGGAGGACACGACAGGTAAACGCTCTGCTCTCTTGTTCCCTTCCCAGGTTCTGTCAGGTAGAAACACTCGCTCCGCGCCTGCGACTCCCCCAGGTCTTCTTTTTTCCTCTCTGCTTTTCCTTTTATAAAATTTCCTCAAATTTATAATTTAAAATAAACATCATTACCTTTTTTGAGAAATGTCCTTTCTCAATATAAACGACGACTTCTATCTTGCTTAAAAGATTCAAAACCCTTTTAACATTATATCTGACAGCATAGAAGGCATGAACTTTTCCTATTTGTGCGGTTATATGTACACGTGTGACTAGATATGTGTATATATATTTGTATATGTATTGTCCTAACACATAACATTCCATACTTCTGATAATAAAGCTTGCATTCAAGATGACATTTCACACCTTCGGGAAAAAGAAAATAAATTAGCTCCCACGACTTTTTCTGTCCTACAATAAAGCCAAGGATGACAACTGGTGACATTGGGTCATTATCGACAAACCTAAGAGCACGGGAAAAAGCAACGGGACGTGCTGTCTTCACTCTTCCACTTTTCTTTTGTACAAGAGTCGTCATCACTTTTAAGAGAGTGATGCTCCAGATTTCCTTTCCAAATTGTACTCAGGGGAGTAGAGAAAGAAGCAATTTAAAAGTTAAAGATTCAGATAAAATGACCCTGCCCAGAGATATGCTAGTACTTACAAATAGAAAATGTTTTTTTCTTTCTTTAAATAGGAAATAGTCAGAGATTCCTGCTACGGTATGGTTAGCCCTTTTCTGCACGGAAGGGTGTTTGTTTCGGATGGGTGATGGACAGCGTATTTGAATTGCTTCTCCAGGTGAGATGCCGCCCCCACCGTGGGGGAGGAAAGGGCAGTGGGTTTGTGAAGGTGAAGACAGTATGTAGAGACACAAATATTTATAGTTTTGTAAACTCTAAAGAGGGGGGAAAAAAAAACGCCCTTTATTACAACTAGGGTAAAAAAAAAAAAGCCCCCTACCTAAAATGGAAAATTCCCATCTGCTACAGACAGAAGGAAATAAACATCAACGGGGGTTTAACAGAAATCAGTCCTAAAGTCCAGTGTTGATGCAAGAGCTCTCATCTGCCCTCTGAAACAGCATATCCGCAAATCGGATTAGCTGTCTGTCCAAATCCAGTCTTGGCTGATCAACGGGACGAATGTTTTGTTTGGACCTTTGTATCTGCATGTTTTCCTAAAGGACAAGGGAGCAGGAGTGGAGTTTCTCAACTGGCAGATGAATCCCTGAAAAACTCTTCTGACAATGTCCTATTGCACGCTGTGCGCTTCTACCAGACAGACAGACACACAGACACGTGGTTTCTACCTACTGAACCCTGGGCTCATTTCTCACTCACACTTAGTTCCTACCTTCCTCCTCTAACAACTGCAGTGCTTTCAACAAGAGGAAAACAATAATAAAAATAGCAATAATTAAAAAGGCAATCTACATTATTAACTTCCTTTTGGTATATTACAGTGGTATTTTCTGTACATGGCCCAGAACTAAGTTCCCTATGTACATAGAGACATGGGGGAAAGCGTCGACCTGGGAGGTCTTAGCCTTGTGCCCTGAAAGACAAGATTCTTTTCCTCCTTCGAGCCTTCTCTCCGCAGCGCTGTTCTGAAGCCGCGGGCCGGGCAAGGGCGGGGCAGGAGCGCGCGAGGTCCCCTGCGGTCCCCTGCAGCCTGTCTGGTCGAAGCCCGTCAGCAGCTGCTGTTTTTGAATTCACCATTCTCCGTGATGGACAGCTTGGTGGGGTTGGTGGGGGAGAGGCCGTTGCGGACCTGCGTGCTGTACCGCTCCTTCACCTGCGTCAGCGCGCTCATCAGTCTGGTGTTGGCCGAATCCAGGGACACGATCCGTTTTTCCTACAACACACCAATCCTGGCTTTATTTGGGCCACATGCAAAAGAATCGCACCGTACTCCTTTCTGTACTGAGCGACTGTTCTGATGCTTTCTATCAGACAGCAGGACGCATGATGCTTCCCAGACAAATGGAACATCTCTGCCTCTTTCTGCGCACGAGTCAGGTTCAGCTTCCCTGGAGCCCAGTGGGTCTCTTTTTCCTTTTGGCACAGCAGGATTTGTTATTACTGTCCCTTGGGACACTAGGACATCATGTAAAAAATGACATCGAGTGTTACTTTGGATTATGCGACACATGTGTCAAGGTGCCTGACTGTATTAGGTGCTTTTGGTCAAAATTAAAACGTGGAAACTAGGACGCAAAGAAAGAAGCACCAGAGGTTTCATTTCACAGAGGAGAAGTGCGAGTGATCTATGGGTTCTTAGGCCCCACAGAGGGCACATCAGTCACATTTGCAGAGAATTCACATTGTGCTTAAAATTAAAAACAATACACGGTGGCAGTTTATAGTCACCCACAAAGTGAAGATGCGACAGCAAGGGGGAAGCAGCCAGAAGCTCAGACCAAGGAGGGACCGGGACATGGGGAGGGAGATGTGGCCGAAGGGAGATGCCGCCAACGTAACACATGAAAACGAACAGAGGACACAAGCTCCTGGACCCATTCCAGCTCAGAGTTACTCCAGGAAGGCCCTCCCCCCCACACGGAGGCTGCTCCCATTTTACTTTTGAGTCTCTGCAAAAAAAAAAAAATGCTTTAGAACGAATATTTTGGAACCAAAAGTTGTTGAATACACACACACAAAAAAAAAACAAGAAGGAAAAAAGGGCCAAAAAAAAAAAAAAAAAAAAAAAAAGGCAATCTCATGGAAAGTAGGCTCATCTAAATTAAAAAAAATAATAATCATCCATCAAAATATTATCAGCTTCATGAAGAGTAGGAGAGAAACCCTAATTGTAGCTTGAGTAGCTAGGGAAATCATTCTAGAACCTTTCCAACACAAAGTCGTGATTTTTCAGCAGATAAGAAGTTAGTGCTGAGAAGACCCAGCTTTACCTATGCCCACGAAATTAAAAAGAAAGTAACACATGAGGAAAAACCCCAAGGCCAAAGGAGCTTTCCTACCCTGGGAGCTTTTGCCTTTACCTGGGGAAAGCATGGTAAGGTGAGCCACGGCAAGGCTCAGAGACGACCTGCAGGGCTGAGGGCCTGACGCTCTCCTGGCTACTAAAGCGGTAGCTACACGGGCCACCGGGCTGCGTGCGGCTCTTCTCTGCTAGGACCTTTGCTGCCAGTGAAGACCACTGCCCTGCGGGCGAATTTAGGTAAAAGCGTACACACAGCATCACATGGCACTTTCCTCTAATCTTCGACTTTGGGGTGGGGAATCTGTATGGCAGCTCATAGTTTCAAAAGCATGAAAAAAACCTAGCTCATACTCGTTATTATCATTAAAAAAAAAAAAAAAATCTTCCTTTCTCTGATGGAGAACTCAGGTGGTAAGATACCCCAAATCAGCATTATTAACAAACCGCTAATCTGGTATAAGATGCTTTTGACTTCGGGAAGGTGAGTGCCTCACTGTAAGGATAAGCAAAACTTAAAGAAAAATCTGCAAGGCTTTTTTAAAAAAATAATAATTAAAAAAAAATTACAGCCAATGTTGTTTCCTGGGATGCTAAGTACAGACCTTTTTCAAGCCAGTAGGTAAGGACTGGCCACGTGGTTACCGGAAAACAAGTGAGTGGTGGGAACCAAATGTGATCTTTTCCCTTGTGGGAAGGAAACTCTCAAAACAGAAGAGCTGGTAATTTCTTGAAATGATGAAAAAAGAAAAGATATTTCAGTATTAGGATAAATTATAAGGCCCTAATACCAAAGAATACAGGATTCTCCAGGTTTATCCAAAAAAATTAGGCATTCATGAAAATTTGACTCTGAGAGGGTCGAAAAGGCTAAGAATGATTTTATTTACCGACCAGCGAGAAAGAGCTGGAGCCAAGCACCGCCCCCAACAGTTCAAAGTTTCCCATCGAGAGACCCCCCTTTTGTAATTCCCCTCACTGCCAAACTCTCAAAATAAAACAGAAGTAAAAGAAAAAAGAACCAAATAGGGAATTTTGAAATTCAAGTTCAGCTGGCAAAAGATGCTCTGACATTTCGATTCCGCCTGGATTGAAAGGCACAGCAGTGGAGCCCCTGCCTGCCAGGAGGGGTGTCGGGTGCGGAGAGCGCAGGAGCTGGAATGTGCAGGAGGCCGGGGCTGGGCCAGGGCTGGGGCTGCTCGGCTAGGGAGCGACAGGGTTTACTTGCCTGTTTGCATAATCTCATCTCCATTTATGACCTGTAATTTAACACAGCGGAGACATGACTTGCAATAGTAACTAGGCAGCTGCTTGCTTCTCAGAGGAGGAAGCCCTTCTCTGCTCTCCACCTGCGTCACAGGGAGAGATCCCGGGGGTGAAAGGTGACGGTCTCTGGCCTAATGTTTAGAAAGGGCCCCTCAGTACCATCCCCAGGGGCCCCGGGGCTGCGCCCCAAGTCAGGATAGGGCGCCCTGCCCTCACCCCTGGAGTGCTCGCCCTCTCTGCTCGTTAGCGGCTGGCTGAGCCAGGCCAGGGCCCGCAGTGTGAGCTGACCCCAGGAGGCGGGGAGGCTGGATTCAGGGACAAGCCTTTCCTGTGGGGACAAAGGGCCACTGAGAGATGCAAACCAGTTCACCTGGCATCTGGCCTTTACTGTTTTGGGAGAGGCTGGGCTCAGCTCTAGTATAAGGAAAGCTATATTCATTTCAGAAATATATATATATATTTTTCCACTAGTGGCACCGAGGCAGACGTCAGGGACACAAAAGCATGGGTTCCCTTGCTGGGCAGCTTTCATCCCCGACATCTCCTCACACTGTTAAACGATGCCAGAAGGGCTGCTCTGCTCCACAAACACTCAAGATGTGAGATCTTTCCTTACAAAGGGAACACATCTGATATAAAGCGTCACTCATCACGACGGATGACAAAGGATGCTCCTCGTCCTTTGCTATAATAAGATTTTAATGTATCAGTAAGACAACAGCTGGAATTGGGAAACCTCCCTTTTAAAAAGATTAGACGTTTTTGTTTTATTAGCTTGTGTGTTTGTGATTTGTGCTGTCCACTGGACAGTGGCTTTCGAAACGTGGTGCAGTGGATTTTCCAGTATTCTTTAGGGATCTACAGTGGGCCTCGGGTAGGAAATTTATTATATAACAATGCTTATGTTGGCTGATTACATTTAGCCAACCTCGGTGTGATTCGATCTATTATCTGAGAGTGCTGCCTGTGGTTGAGTGGTCAGTGGGAGCAGCTGTATGGAAGGCTCCCACCCCGTTCCACCAAACAGTCCGCGGAATCGGATGGACCACTTGAAAACCACTGCCTTGAGGTGTGCGTGCAAAATATTATCCAGCTAAGCCAGCTCACGAGTCTGACACTGACTGGTGCTTTGAGGGCATTGCGCCCATCCTGAACAGCGAATCAGTCCCAGTTAATGGAGAGAAGGCCCTTACTCTCTGGAGCTTTTGAGCCCCGATAAACCTGATTCGCTCTCTTGCTTTCACTTTCTGTGCCCATGATTCCTGCTTCATACCCGGTCACCTTGCCCTAGATGTCAAAATAGGGGGTGGGGTAGGGTGGCAACCCTCAGAAGCTGATGAGGAGGCTGTTTTGATGGACAAGCGAGCAAAGGGCAACGCCGTGTGCAGAGCCATGACGATGGCTCACCCCAGCTCCCCTGCTTAAGACGGACACGGTTTTATATCGGCTGAAACGGTCTATTTCATTATTTTATTAAAATGGTCTGTTTTATCCCATTAGAACTAAAATCTCTCTTGGTGTGGTTATTAATAGAACTCTTCTTGCTTTATATTGTCATGAAAATCCCAAAGTGAAAACTTACCAACACCAGTTTGCCTGACTAAACGGCCCTCTTTATCCAAGCTGTTTCTCTTAAGCCTCTGGGATGCATTTTGATAGTGTGTACAGTGAGACAGCCTTGTCTCTGCTACCGTTCCCTCACCATCCTGGGGACATCCAGAAAGGCCTTTAAAAAGGACCAAGTAAGATAATTACAGCAGAACTTTCTTCTGACACGTGGGAGGTCTAAATATCCAGAAACTACAAAGTTCAAGAGTCCAAAATATTCTGAGGAGCTATGTTGATGAGAGAGCATCACAACTCACACTCGACTTCCAAGTCTAGTGTGTCTGAAGGAGCACGCGGCCCACGAAGCATTCTTCCCAGGGCTGTGCTTTCGGCCTCACTCCTAACTCCTTTGAAAAATAAACCCATCCGAGGACACGAGACTGGAGGTGCTGAGCACGTGGCTCTAACACAGTCTGACTACTGGCTGGTGCACAGAGCAGAGAGCAGACCATAACGTGCTTGCTCCCATTTTTATTTCCTAGCTTAGGGATAGGATATGGCATCTAAAGGTGAGAAATGCAAGCCTGGGCTGTCTTCAGGGAGGTGATACATGCAGTGGCTAGACCAGCCACTATCAAACCGCATCTGCCTTTTGTTATTTGTTTTGCTCTAAGAAATATGACCCTATTTTGCATTGAGAAAATGAGAAGGAACTAGGAACGCTTTCCGCCTGCTGGATTTTGCTCTGATCACGGATGTGTCCCTGTGAGGTGCTCCTGGCAGTCATCACACCATTAGTGTCGCGGGTCTAAGCTATAGTGAGCAGAGGCCCAGGCTCTGATTTCATCAACCAAAAGAGGCTCTTCAAGCACAGCCAACAAAGAAAGGCAGCCAAGCAAATTCCAAGCATCGATGCCAGACCCTGAACCGAGAGAATAAGGAAAGGTGCCTTCTACGACCTTGTCTTTCCCCTGCAGCTCCACTACTGTCAGGGGCTAGAGGGTGATGGCACAGTGGACGTGACTGACAAGACCGTGAACATCACAGCCAAGCAAAGGTCAGTGGAGGTCACAAGCCAGACACATGCGGTGTAGCCTTCACAGCGCTCCCCTCAGGGGATGCCAGACTCTCCATGAGGAAAGAAGTAAAGCTCCTCATGCACTAGGCTGAGACTTGTTAAGCGACTGCACTAAGCGCGCTTGCTGGGTTTGTGCTGGGTTAACAGACTTGTCACCAGGAAAAGAAAGGAAAGGTCATAGGTCACACGGAAACACTTTTCATCTTCAAAAGGTAATGCCAAGAACTTTCCAATGACCCATTTTCTAGTACGTGCCTTGGCATTTGCGAAGGAGTGGGAAGTCGGGAAATAACAGTCATTGCATCCGGGCCTACTTACCTGTGCATCAATTATTTTCTGCTTTGCATCAATAACTGCTTGCATCTCAGCATGGTCCTTCTTCAATTCCTCTTCCACGGCCATTAGCCTAGAAAGTGGCAGGAAGGACACATCGACATCTTTCACGAGAGAGCTAGATAGTGCAGAGGACAAGAAACCCCCAACTCATCACAGTTCAATATTTCTGCTTCTTCCCAATAAAAAATCTGCAACCGTGCGTTCTTTCTTCTCTCCTGCCTTGAAAGAAGACATGCGAAGTCGATTCCTCTGTGACTAGATCCCGCATGTTTTCATCCCATCTGAGACAGTATCCCCATAATCACTGCCTCCCTCTCCTCTGTCAGACCCCTCAGCGCAACTTATTTCACCTTAAAATATCAAACCAGTTAAAAGAAATCAAACCACCCACTGTTAAGGAAGCTTCCCCAAGAAGTACTCTACACTTCGTAGGTCTAGTTTCTTTCTTGTCCACCACTGACATCTCACCCCACTGGTGTTTAAACGCCATCAAACTGCTCCCGGTCAGACTCCGCATGCTAAACAACAGACCTTTTCTGTCTTCAATTTACTTGACCTGTCCGCAGCTTCTGACAAGATCGAAGCACAATGGTAATGAGCGTGACTCTGGGGCCTGACTGCCTGGCTTCAAATCCTGGTGGCACCACTAAGTGGCCTTGGGCAACTGACTTGATCTGCTGCCTGTTTCTTTATTTGTAAAATGAGAATAATGCCTACCTCAGACGTTGGCATTAAACAAATTATTAATAACAGATCAGATGAGCTAGTATTTGTAAAGAACTTAGAAAAGTGCCTGGCCCCTAGTGAGTGCTTTATAAGTGGCTGGTACAAGTGGCCCCCTCCCTTGACATCACTGCCACCCGCTCTTGGTTCTCTGGCCCTAATGACAGCCAATGAAATGTCTTTGGACTTGTGAAAAACTAGGTTAGTCTTGGATGTTGAACACCTAGGTTTCAAAACCCAGTTCTCCTCTAAGACCTCTCGAGTGAGTCACTAAGTTTTTATTTTTTCTACTTGCTACAATGAAAAGAACAGATTATCTCTGTCTTCCCAGGAAGCGCACAAAGGTCTCAGATTTAGAAACCTGTAAGAGACACAGCCAGTCGTCACATCTGTCCTAAGTGCCACAGGGCACAGGCACGGCTGAAACCGGCTTTGCCGCCACTCCTCGAGGGGTGTCCGGCTCATCCCCCCATCAGTCTGGATCCCCACCGAGCCCACGCCCGCCACCGGGGCGCCGTCTCACCTGCTGATGATGCTCTTCATCTGGCTGTCCTTCTCCTCCTGCTGCCTGCGGAGCCGCTCCTCGCTGTCCTCCAGCCGGGCCTTGTACTCCAGCAGCAGCTTCTGCATCTGCTGCTCCTGCACCAGCAGCCGCCGCTCGTACTCCTCCAGCCGCCGGCTGGACACGCGCAGGCGCTCCTTCAGCTTCGCGATTTCCTGCTCGTACTGCAGCGGAGGAGACGAGGCGCCGAAGCAGGAGAGGAAAAGTGGATCACACTGGTTTGAGCAGCTAGTGATTTAGTTTCTACGAAGAGAGCCCTAGGCGGGGTGGCCGGATGCTGTCTGAGCTGCCATTCCAGTGCCGCTAAATTATCAACAGGCATAAATGGTAATGGGGCTTTGCCTTCCTCCTCAAATTTCATTTTTAATGTTAACTTGGCATTCCAAACCTGCATATTTATGTCTCTCTCCACATGAAACTACCAGCTGTTGCAAGCCATACTGATTCTATAATGAAAAGATCAAGCACTTAGAAGCCTGAAAAATCACTTAAAATAAGTCAAAAGCCAGCTGTCTACAAGAGGAAGGGTTCTGATCCTCGCCTGCGCTGTAGGGTCCGGGACATACTTCGGCTCATCAGACTGCCATTCTTCGCTCTACTAGAATCAAGCAATGCTTCTATAATTTTAAGCTACTAAATCAATAAGTAGGATTTTATGACAGAGCAGACTATTGCTGCTTTCTCCCCAACCATAAAAGCTTAAACTATTCAGGTCATAAGCATGAAGCAAAAGGCCTACATGTTCTCAAGGACTGATGAATACCGCCTCCTGGCTCGCTTTCATGATGTGGTTTATCTGCCCAATTTGGTTCTGCTTGCTGGAACACATATGTCTGTTTTCTCACTAAATTTACATAAGCTAAACCTTTATATAATAAATTCTCATTAAAGCTTTATATAATTCAAATGGTTACATGGCTCTTTCTTGTACTGAAGTTGCTGTGGGGATGTCAAATTACTAGGTGGGGTGAGGAGCATCAGCTTTCTTGTAGATGGTCTACTTAAATTCATTAGTCATTAGTGATAAATCATGTGGTGCTTTGTAAAATGCAATCTATTGTCACATAACATCCCATTTATTTGACAATCAGACAATTAGCTTCTGCTTAGCCAACATCTCGGTCCTAAGCTACACTTGCTAATCCAGAAGGTCGAAGATGACCATTTTTAGGACAGTTCGAAGAGGCAGACTGCATCAACCAAGCACAGTTTAGGATCACACTGTCGAGTAGGCAGAAGCCAGCTGTCTGGCTGTTAGCTGAATAAGATAATTCTATACATGATGTCAAAGTTCCTGTCTGATCATTTTTTTCCTTGTCGACTTTTCTTTAAAAAACAAAACAAAATAAAACCAAACCAACAGGTAGTTAATGTCTTTTTAAAAACCATCTATAGAGCTAGATGTTCTTTATCCAGCAAATGCAAAAAGAAAAAGAAAGACAAAATCATTACCAAGATTAGAAAGGAAGTCTAGTCCAAGGGAAATTTTGGTCTTGGTTGAAGACTAACAACCAGTTTACAGAAACACTAAATATTCACCTAAAATGACTAGAAGTGAATAGCAAAGGATTCTCCAAATTAAGGCAACCTACATAAAAAAAAAAAAAGTTAGAGCTAATTCCTCCCGCTCCAGCTTGATGAACGCTTTCTGCATCTTTTCACATAAGGACACTACTGAGTTATTACACAGAGATACGTATGTGAGGTGGAACGGAAGATGGCAGGGGCAGATCATGTCCTTGGCTAGACGGCCCTTCTGGTGGCCTGTTGCTGTGGGGCAGTGAGTTGATAAAGACAGACTCGGTTCTACCTTCTCGGCGTGCTTGGCTTCATCTGGATTTTGCTCCGTTTCTTCCACATCCTCTTCATATTGCCCATTGTTCAGAACCCAGGCTGCTGTCCTCTCTACTGGGGACATTGTGGCAGAGTCCACAGGTGACTGAACCTGCATCAGAAAGACTTATTTGCATCTCCCCAAACAGTTCATCCACTAGTTACGTTTCAAAGAGAGAGCTATTCTGGAAGACACCCCTGTTTTCTAATAAGTGCTCTCAGTTCTAAATAATTCTTTATTGATGCCAGGGCTGGGGGTGAGAAAAGAGAATATTCATTTGTATAAGAATAAACTATTCTCTATGCAACACACCCAAGAACCTGCCTTTTTCTCCTTCCAAAGAAAGACAAAGTCTTAAAATTGTTAATTAGTCCAATGGTCCAAATTACTTTATGGATTTACAATGATAATAGAATGAGAGAAAGAAAGCACAACTTGATCATTGATTATTCAGGTGAAGAAATGTCTATTTAGCCCAGGGATGATCAGTAACCAAGGAAATGATTACTGCTAAATAAACTCACAAGCTGCCCGTTTGTATGTCAGAATGTCAAATTCTTAATTTTCATCTTAACCATTTAGAGAAAGAGAAAAACCATTTTAGTCATTTTTACAGAGCAATGATGGGATAATTAAGCCCATATATTAGACCAGACAAGTTTCTTGATTAAATACAAGCTCAAAACAGTAGATCAAATTAGTCTATGGAAAATTTCTATCCAGTTAGGATAGCTAAATTGTCATTTTCCAATATAGATATAGAGAGTGGTAAGAATTCTGGCTTTAAGTAGCATCTCTGCCACTTAAATTGTCACTTAACCTCTTAAAAACTCTTTTCCTAATTTACTAAATAGAGATACCACCAGCATCATCACCACACCCAGCCTGACAATCTCAAGGAGTTGTGAGGATTGAATAAGACAATGTACTCAGAAGTTCTTTGTAGTTTACTAGAAAGCTTAGATGCTGTCACTGTATTAGGTTTAGAGAACTGGCACTGGATATTACAATTTATACTAGGCCTCTGAATATTAGTGTTTTCTCCACAAACAATGTTGGAAATACACAAATTCTGTTTCTCTGGCTTGCCTGAGAGAGAGAGAGAGAGACAGAGAGAGAGAGAG